TCTCTGAGCTGCTCGAAGTATAACAGGAGCCGATGGATGTCTTGCTCGATTTGGATATAATTCGGCGTATCTTCTTGCAGCTACGTGATACTGCCCATGACACTCGCCGAGTGCCATTAGCATATCGTAATATTCTTTGTTTGTGTACGCTGCCATATCGTCCTCTTAACTCTTGTAATAATCGAAAGATTATTGTTTGCATTATCAATCTTCATTTTATTTATACAATCCGCGGGGTGTCGCGATTTTCCCCTCCACGCCTTCCGCGTTGAATAGCGGCACGCGACACCCGCGACAGCGGCCACCCGCGAATCGTATAAATATAAGATGCAGATCGACAATGCAATCAATCATCAATCGGCTCCCGTCATACGAAGAACTCAGAGACAAAACGAGACTGGCAGCGTCCTTTCGAGCAAACAAGAAAAAAAGTTGCACGCATTTCATTACACACGCGTGCAACATTTACGACCAGAAGATTATCAAGACGAACGTTTTGCGAAAATTTTCTGAAAAAAGTAAATCGTTTCCCGAAGACGCTTCCCGAGGACGTCGACGACTTAGAAACCAGATTGCGATATGTAATTTGGAATATCGAAGAGGAAGTAATGGAGAACGTCCAATTAAATTTATTTAAACGCATGAGAGCTTGCATAAGGATGGATGGTGGTCATTTTGAGCACCTATTATAAATTAATCCGCTCTTTTCAGAGCGACCAAAGTTAATCCGCTCTTTTCAGAGCGACCAAAGTCAATCCGCTCTTTTCAGAGCAACCAATACATTTATACATGGAACATCTTGTTCGCAAAACATAATCATTTTTCTCACGTCTCGCTTAAAAAGAAAAGGCAAAACGGGCGGATAATGTTAAGTCATTAAAAAAAATGTATTATAACGTAAAAAATTATAATACGTTATAATATGCCTTTTTTAATAACATAATTATTATACGTTTTAATACATGTCTCGCGTCAATCACATGTTCGGCAACGCCGCGTGATTGTTACCGTCTAGACGTGTCGCGAAGCGTCGCGTCGTCCGTCGCCGCAGTCTGTTGTCGTGTCCTTGCCGTGTAAACAATTGTCGTCCGCATCGAGTAACGTGTGCCTTTTTACAAGTAATTTTTAATAATTAATCGGTACACTGAGAGAATTTTCTCTTAAAATTTACCCTAAAAGTTATGGTAATTGTGAGACAATACGGTATGAAAAGAATTTTATTAAAATTTCTCTGATTAATATTTATCACATTAAAAATAATATCTATCACAATAAAATATGAAATATGTGTGATTAATTTTACTAAACTGTATAGTAAAATTAATCAAACATATTTTATATTTTCTTGTGATACATATTATTATTTTTAATATGATAAATAGTAGAGAAATTCTAATAAAATTCTTTCCACATCATAATGTCCTACGATTACCATAATTTTCTAGGTAAATTCTAAGAGAAAATTCTCTTAGATTGTGATTATGATTGTCGTGTCCTTGCCGTGTAAACTATTGCCGTCCGCATCGAGTAACGTGTGCTGTGCGCGCCGCGCGTTTTTACAAGTAATTTTTAATAATTAATCAAAACACTGAGAGAATTTTCTCTTAGAATTTACCCTAAAAGTTATGGTAATTGTAAGAGAATATGGTATGGAAAGAATTTTATTAGAATTTCTCTGATTAATAATTATCACATTCAAAATAATAATATTTATCACAATAAAATATAAAATATATTTCATTAATTTTACTTTACGGTTTAGTAAAATTAATAAAACATGTTTCATATTTTATTGTGATAGATATTATTATTTTGAATGTAATAAATATTAATTAGAGGAATTCTAATAAAATTTTTTCCATACAATATTATTCTACGATTACCACAATTTTCAGGGCAAATTCTAAGAGAAAATTCTCTCAGATTGTGATTATGTGTTGTAATTTGTAATCAGTTATTTATTACAATAATTTTTAATCAAGTGCGTGAGTCAAAGTGTTAATAGAATTTATTACCACAAAATGATTTCATTATGCAGTGTGTCACAGTGTGTCAATATCGGATTGTATCCAGTCAGGCAACAATTATTCGTCAAAGGACATCAAACATCTCTACAAGGTAAGAATCAGTGAGAGAGAGAGAGAGAGAGAGAGTGTGTGTGTGTGTGTATACGCGTACACACACATGCACACACACACACACACACACAAAACGCCGCGTGTAACAAACAGCTGATCGCTTCGAGCGCCCACGTAATCGCCCGCGTCGGATAATGTGTTGCGCCGCTCCTGATTACCGCCCGTACTCGTGCTGTAATTCGCTAACTATTTCTTTTTATATTTCAAAAACTAAGCTTCGGATAAAATTTTGGCAAAGGAAAAATCGTCTTAGAATTGAGTCAGGAATACGACATTTTAAGGACAAACGGTTGTTTTGAATCACCCTGTATATACACATATATATAATATTAGCGTATTATATCTACAATACATACTTTAATTTTTAGAAAGCATATTTTCTCTCTCTCAAATCACTCGCATACAATTATAAACGAGCAAGAGAAAGAGAGAGAGAGAGAGGAGAGAGAGAGTGTGTCAGAAGACAAGACAGCATGAGAGAAACGAAGATAATATGACTGTCTGTCCTTGTCTAACTGCACGATTGCAACTCCATCTATCGCGACATCGCGCAACTAAATTTCTGCTCTGTATTATTCCCAAATGTCATTTCGCACATACACATGTGAATAAAATATTCCAACACCAAGATCTTTTTTATTAGACTTCTAAACTTATTTCTGCAAGCTTACTAATATTCCTTTATGCAATCTTTTGGACGAAGCGGTCTTATTTTGTACGTATAAATTGTGAAACTTTTATACAAGCAAATATTGTTATGACGTGACGCAAGAAGCCAGAAAAAAACTCGTATTTAAAAATTTTTTGTCTTTTTATCACAAATTGAGACAGCTGCGTACTTTATTATTGTATTAACTTTAATCGTGGAAAAGCATTTGTTATTCTATTAACGCAATAAAAACTTTATGGTGTTGGAAAAATATAATCGTTCGGCCGGTAAAAGTAGACCTCCGGCATCCCCTTAAATATATCTCTTGGTTTGAGATTACTAAGTTCCATATATAAATTAATCTCGAAACTTACATATGGAGAAATAGGCGCGAAAAATATAGGTCCGGAAAATCGCTGAAGCGGGAATCGAACCCGCGTCTTTCACTTTCCGGGCGACTGCTCTTACCAACTAAGCTATTCAGACCCTTTCGATCCTACATTTTTCATTTGCCTTTTATATATTTTATATTATATTAATGTTTTATATATTATATTTTATATTACATTAATTTTATATATTCATATTTTATATTATAAATTTACACACACACATACACACACATCTTTATAAATAAATATTTAAATATTATATATATATTGTGTAATTATTTTGGGATTAAACCTTCTCCTTACCTCTTTTGAATTATAAGTATATCTTATATAAGTAAAAAAAATATATATACATATATTAAAGCACCTTAGAATTAGCATTGTCATCATTTTTCTCTCGCGGAGCATCATCTTGTCGCTCTTCTTTCCCTCTCTTTGCGCTCTCTTGTGGATGCTCCGTGTTACCTATCGCTTGCGCCTTGCATTATCTCACGCGCTATCTCTTTCTCACTACGCTCTCTCGTCATCTCTCTTTGCAGTCTGTTCACCGCGTTACCTATCGCGCTATCTCTTTCTCTCTCGCGTGCATCTTTCTCGTGTCATCTTACTCGTTGATACTTTCATTGCTTCCCTCTCCTCGAGGATTCCTCGCGAATCCTAAATCGCGTATCCCCCTCCCCGCGGACCCTAAACTTGCGTATTCCCCTCCCCGCGGACCCTAAACTCGCGGATCTCCCTTCCCGCAGACCTTAAACTCGTGGATCCCTCTCCCCGCGAACCCTAAAACTCGCGGATTTTTCTTCCCGCGAGCCTCGCGGATTCCTCTCCCCGCAAATCTCGCGGATTCCCCTCCCCGTGTGACGTCATTCCCCGCGCCACAGGTCCCCCTCGCCCCGCATCCCCCTCAGAAGACGTGGGTTAGAATTCTCCCTATATACCTACTCCAATAGTATCTTTTACTAATTGCTGTTTTCTCGGCTGCTTTTATATTCTTTTAGACGTCCTCTCTCTCTCTCTCTCTCTCTCTCTCTCCTCTTTTTCTCTCTCTCTCTCTCTGTTTTATATATTGTATATAATTTTTCTTTTACATTTACAATAACAATAATTTTTATAACAATTTACACAGCTATATATGAACAGATAATAAAATTCATGAGAATCAATTTATATAAAATATGTGTGTTAGTAAAATCCTTACTTCAACATATTACTTTGACGTATAATGTAATAATGAGATTTATAAATGCATATACTTATTATCTATAAAAATCATGTGAATGTTATATTGTGTAAATGTAATAAAATTGTATGCTATTATAGATAGATAGATATCTTTATTGTTCCCCGTAGGGTTACAATTTAGAAAACAAAAACAAAAACAAAAACGCTTACAATACCAATTTAACCTAACTTACAAGGATAGAGAATGTATTGCTGTGAGAGCCAAATATAATACTTAGCAATGCGCTAAGATGAGAAACAATCTCAAATCGAGATTTATCTGATACTTGCTAAATACAAAGTCTTCTACACAATTACTTGTTTCTTCATTTTATTTTAACTTGCACGTAACAGTGTGCGTGTGCGTGTGCTTGTGCGCACGTGTGCGCGTGTGTGCGCGTGCGTGTGTGTGCATGTGTGTGTGTGTGTGTATGTGTATACCTAATAAGAAAGTCCAATAACGTTGGGCAGTGGTTCTTTTTATTTACCAAACACTTTGTATATCACAAGATATTTATTTATTACATCTGAGAAATAATGTAGAGAAAAATAAATCAAAACATAACACAAAATGAAATATAATTGCAATAAACAAAATAAATCAAACGAAACAAACTCGTGAATAAATTATAAATAATAAATGATAGAAAGAACTTATCATAATCGCAACACTTGGCCAAGTACTCGTTCACACGTGTGGTTCGCTCGCTCGCTCACATCGGAAAAGAAAGATTTCTCTCTCACCTGTGCCGTTAAACCTATTTCCCTAATCACTCTATCTCTATTCTGACAGTATTTAAATCGCGGGTAAATCAAATGGTGAAAATTACATTCTTCAACAGAGAAACATAAATTTTATATACGAATTTTAAATTAAACTTTCGAGGTCCAAAACGAAAACATCAATGTTTAACACAAAAAATGTCTATAAAATTATTTTTAATTAACAAATTATAAGATTATAACTATTTGCTAAATAATCGTTGATACTTTCTGCGATACAACTTTTTTTACACACACATTTTGCAATATTAGAGTTCAGTCTCATCAAACCAATCTTTCGCGCGTTGACAATTTTCTTGTCTGAAAGAATTTGTCTTTTCCCATATAGACTTCTGCATAATCATGGTAGAGTAAATACTCCAAGTTGCGTTCGTCTTGCCTTGAGCTTGTGGAAACAGACCGCATTTAAATCGCTTCAATAACAACACCTTAATCTTTTTTTTACATACAAATATGATAAAGGTGCAAAGATTCTGCAGGATGACGGCTAAATAAGTAATATCTCTGACATAATTAGGTACTTCTCCAAACAACCATGTCATTGTCATCACAGACCATTCAATGCCCATCATGACAAACATTATGATAAATAGTTTCAGATACAAATTCAACCTGAAAAACAATAAATATATTTTTTGTATATATCTCTCAAGAAAAATAACATACCAAAAGAAGTAGGCTGTTCGCTAGACTACACCACCATACCTATATGTTTTCGGGATCGCCGAATCCGAATCCGTTGTCCATTTTACCTCATCACATCAGGTTTCGTTCCTAATCTTAAAAAATATCTTAAAATCGCTAAAACGGCCCTTTTCATGTTGAAAAATAAAGCATGACCATATTTATATGTTTTGGGGTCGCTAAATCCGACTCCGTTGTCTGCTAAACGCCAATCACGTTACCATTCGCCCCTAACCTAAAAAAATACCTCGAAATTCTTCTATGTTTGATTATTTTTTGTAACTTTAATTTCTTTGAGGAATGGTTTTATTCAAAATAAACGAAAACTAATAAGATCCCATTTAGAGTTTCAAGCTTGTTTACTAAATTTTTAAGTATCTCTCATCAAGATCATCCATAAGATGGGTTGTTTGTATCTTTTTGGTCTAGTTGTGCTAGTTCAACTAGCAATTATATCGAGTAAATTTTGCTACAATGACAGATGATTCGAATCATTCTACACATCCCCTTTCGGGGCAGTTGTCATTGCCTACAGTATCTGCCATCATAGCAGAATTTATTCGATATGATTGCTCGTTGAACTAGCAAAACTAAACCAAAAAATACGAATAACCCATCTTATGGATGATCTTGATGAGAGATACTTAAGAATTTAGTAAACAAGCTTGAAACTTTAAGATGGGATATCTTATTAGTTTTCGTTTATTTTGAATAAACTCATTGCTCAAAGAGACTAAAGTTACAAAAAAGAGTCAAACGTAAAAAAATTTCGAGGTATTTTTTGAGGTTAAGGTGAATGGTGACGTGTGGCAAAAATTTAGCAGACAACGGATTCGGATTCAGCGACCCCAAAAACATAAATATGGTGGTCATGCTTTATTTCTTGACATAAAAAGGATCATTTTAGCGATTTTGAGATATTTTTTGAGGTTAGGGACAAAACCTGACGTGATGAGGTAAAACAGACAACGAATTCGAATTCAGCGGTCCCGAAAACATATAGGTATGATGGTGTAGTCTAACAAATAACCAATTTTTTTTTTGTGTGCCTGTGTAATAAATACTATTTATAAAGTTAACTTTAAAAAAATAATGGAATAAATTACATCTTTGTAAGAAGGAAAAGAAAAAGAGACTTAAATACACTTTTTAAATATATGATTTTCTTTATAAAAATAAATATATCCATTAATTTTATTCGCACAATTTTACACACTTTAGAATTAAAAACAATTCGAAAAAACGTGATTCAAGTTACAGTGATATGTTTTTCTTTTTCTATAGATTATATAATTACAAGAAAGAGGAAAAAAAACAGAAAGAAAAAGAATGAGCATATCAAAAATATGTTGCTTCCAAATAATTTCTTTCTATCTTCAGAAATGTAAATCAATCCATTATGTAATACTGTTGGTAGAGATATTAATCAAAATGTATCGACATAAATCTCATTAATGAAAAAGAAGATTATTGTACTATAAAATGCAAAACTGTTTGAATACAGACCATTTCTTCTTGTTATTATACCGCTTGATTCTTGAATTTGTCAGAGGACGGCCTCTATTCTTTTCGTAGCGTTTGATCTTCAATGCCGTAGAGATGGATAAGAAAATACTGCTAATGATACAGATACTTTTGAATCCATAAAAATACAACGCAAATACTTTTTTGTCTGTAAAATATGTAATAAATAATTATATTGTTTCTCACATTATATTAATAAAGTGATGTGTCAAAGACATTTTATTTATTTACCATGGAACCAGCACTTTCCTAATTGAAATTCCGGTCGTAAAATCTGTGGTATATAATTGGAAACAGAATCCATGATGACAGATACAATAGCAAAAATAAAGGGACAACCCCACGCATAGATCGCATAAAAAAACAACTTTCTCTTTTTTTGTCTTTGTAACGAATAGGATTCTCTGCAATTTAGACGTATATCTAATTAGCAATAGAAATAAATCACAATGTAAATGCATTAAAATAATCAAATAGTGTCTCTGATTGAAGCTTTTACAAAAGCTCATTCTACGCAATTACAAAAGTAAATTTACATATAATACACGACATTCGACTTTTGATTATTATAGAAATGGTATAATACATTTGTATAACAATCAAAAAATATTGTATATTTACATAACTATATGCAGACACGACCAAGATAATTGTTAATTTCTATTTAGTTTCATAATAGTATATTAGCTAACAAGTACGAGAGATCGTAAATCGGCCGAGAGTGCGGAAGTTTGGCGCACGAGGCGAAGCCAAGTGTGACAATCCGCACGATTGGCCGATTTATGACCCGCACATGTTGGCTACGATATTTTGTGTGACCGGTGCGTGGAAAGAAAGCCCTTTCTAAAATCCCATTATGTGCGTAAAAAGCGACTTTTCGCGCGCCGGTTGCACAACAATTATTTAGAAAAATATCTATTTTTGTTCAAAAGTTATTTTATTTTGTGATTATCTTATTTTATACATAATACAAAAAAAGTAACTATAGTGATAAATATATCAGGTTTGTATAATGTTATAAAAAAATTGTTATATTTGTTGTGTACCTCGGGTAAGGCACAAGGGGTCGCGCCAAATTAGGATGAGAATCCGGGGCGTCAGGGCTTGTATCGGGTTGATTAAATGAATGCACTTCACTTTTTCACTATTAAAGAACTTTTATTCCAATTAACCACTTGACGTTTTCTTTATTTTAACCATGTTACACTTGTACGTTACGTATATCAGTTTAGCGGCACTATTTAACTATGACTTCGTGAATCGCGCGCGCGACTGCGATAAGATGTTATAGATCGCACGCGGTTAGCAAGGTTACTTTAAATTAACGACTCAAGAACAACTGCGGGGCGCGTCTCCTGCTTCGTTTTTATAGTCTCGCTTTTTGGAAGTTCCTTGATCGGAAGGGGTGCCTGGCAACGGGCCCCCTCGGTCAAGGACCTAGGTGCAAGCGAAGTAAATTCCAAGTCCTTCCGCTTTGCTTGCACATTGGGCAATTTCGGTTCCGCGTGTATCTCGCAGCGTATGCGTTTTTACGCGGTCAGTGCCCGTCGTCAAGCGGATGTAATATGAGTAGTTATTTCTTAATAGTTATATCTTTTAGGGATATAACATATTGTATCACAAATTAGACGACGTTACATTTTATAAATATTTAATTTTGATGTAATGTTTATTACTTTATATGACCTTTCTATGATATAATATTTATCATATTTTATTATTTTATATTTTCTTACTTTTAAAAACTTAAATCGATCTCAACGAAATAGAAACTATAAATTTAAAGTGTAAGACAGGCAATAAGAGCCAAATCGCGGATGACAGTGCGTTATCCCAACAAAACTAAATTTTTTCGTTAGAATTAAATATCTGTGCACAAGGCACTAAATTTTACTTGATCACGGCCAAGATTTTAAAATATGAAATAATCTCATATTTGAGATTTAATTTCAATAACCCTTTAACCTCCCTACGGAAATAAATAAATAAATGCAAGAGAAAAATATAGATCCGAAAGTCGCTGAATCGGGAATCGAACCCGAGACCTTTCGCTTGCCGAACGACTGCTCTTCCAACTGAGCTATTCAGATCCTTTCGATTCTATACTTTTCTCTGTTATATAAATAATAATGTTGATAAACAAACGCTTTTTCAGCCAGCGTGTATAAGTTAAGAGTTTAACACGGTTCTGTAATATGAATATAAATTTAAAGTGTAAGACAGGCAATAAGAGCCAATCGCGGAAGACAGTGCGTTATCCCAACGAAACTAAATTTTTTCGTTAGAATTAAATATCTGTGCACAAGGCACCAAATTTTACTTGGTCACGGCCAAGATTTTAGGGTGCCTTGTGCACAGATATTTAATTCTAACGAAAAAATTTAGTTTCGTTGGGATAACTGTCTTCCGCGATTGGCTCTTATTGCCTGTCTTACACTTTAAATTTATATTAATTTAATCAATCAGATGAAAAAATTTTCCAATGAGCGCCAGTAAATAAAATCACAAAGATTAAATATTTAGAAATCGTAAACGACCAAACTGAACAAATGTATTTATTAATTTATTCAAACTTCTTCATTACGTTTCGATCTTTGTTTGAAGTCTTTATCAAATGAGAACCGTTACGTGTTAAAAAGCAAATTATTTTGATGTCTTTATAATAAAAATTAAATATAATTAAATATATGATAGTCACCACTTTAAAAGTTCTATATATGTATAAACACATGTATCTTCTTTGATGTTTAACTTTAAGAGTCGGTAGTTAAACATCAAAGAAGATGTGTTTATACATATATAGAACTTTTAAAGTGGTGACTATCATATATTTAATTATATTTTATTTTTATTATAATGACATCAAAATAATTTGCTTTGTAACACGTAACGATTCTCATTTGATAAAGACCTAAAACAAAGGTCGAAACGTAATGAAGAAGTTTGAATAAATTAACATTTGCCCAGTTTGGTCGTTTACGATTTCTAAATATTTAACCTTTGTGATATTAATTTAAGTCTATTAATTTTTCTAACATACAAAGTCTTATTTTAACTTATGTTTTAAGATAAATAATTGCTCTTACATTGTAACGCACCAATACAACATGAAAAAAAATTTTGTTCCATTGATTCAAAATATTGCATATCATTTTTCGTCTTTACGTTGCTGATATATATTCAGATAATAAAGCATTTTTAGCATATTATGCTTTTTTAATTTAAAAAAGAAAAGACACACTCAAAGAAAAAGTTGTGCCGTGTACGGAAAGAATACAATAGAAGAACGAACTACAGAAAATTATTTGCCAGATTCCGTACCGGAAATTTTGATCTCGACGATGCTTAAGACGGCCTGTCGAAGTTAATGACGATCAAATTAAAACATTAATTAAAAATAATTTACGTTACATGATCCGAATAATTGCGAAGATTTTTAAAATATTGCAAAATAGTTTTAAACAATTTCAATGTGTGTACTCTGTATAAGTTATCGGAAAAAATTCAACAGAACAAATTTTTGTATGCAATTTACTGTACAAACGAGAAAAGATTCATTTTTTATATAGGGTGTCCTGCAACATGATGTCCATACTAAAAATATATTCTTGGTGTCACTCTAAGTCAAAAAGTCTGAATACATGCTCTAAAGTCGATTGTTTTAAAGTTATAGCGAAAAAATGCAAGTGTAATTACTTACTTATTTATTTATAATTTTTTATTAATATTTGCTTATATATACAGAGGCATTTCACGCCAAATCGACTACTTTTGGACCCGACCCCTTTCGATTTGGCTGAAAATTTTTTATCCTTTTCTACCCTATAAAAAACGTTTTTCAGAATTTTTTCAAATTTTTTTACCCAACCAAAAAAAAGTTATGAATTTTTGAAAAAAATGGCTTTTTTTTTTAAATAGCTATAACTTTTTCAAAATTTGATTTATGAGGACGTTTTTTTTTAAATTTTTGTTTTTAAATGTACTTTTTGAAAAAAATACAAAAAATTTATTCAAACCTATCTTCATCGTTTTTTTTAGATTTTTGGAAAAAATCGAAAATTTCTCGATAATTACCATTTTTTCTTTTTTTTTTTTTTTTATTATATCAAACTTTGACATTTTCTGCTAATCCTCAAATTTTTTCAGAGTGGTGTTTTTTTTATTTCTATTTTTTTCCAATTAAAAAAAATTTTTTTTAACTAGCCTTATTTCTCATAACACCATTTTAAAAAATTTTGAAGGTGTTCAGAGAACTTCCAAATTTGAAAAAAAAAAAAACAAAAATTGAAAGTGGTAACATCGAAAAAATTTGATTTTTTTCGAAAAATTAAGATAAAAAATAGAAGGAAGCTCTGAATTATTTTTTTGTATTTTTTTTCGAAAATTATATTTAAAAACGAAGAAAATAAAAAAAAAAGTTTTTTGGTCCATTTTTGGACAAATGACGGGCATTTAAAAAAACACATCTAATAAATTTGGACTCAAATCTATCATTTTAAAATATTCTACTTTTTAATTCGTCAATTCTGTGTTATACCTGACAAAGATGGTTGCCTCATGGTCAAAGATTATTCGAACGCTACAGAATCAAAATTGTGTAAATTATTTAAACGTGCGCGAAAATAAGTGTTTTATTAGGTTAAGAATTATTGTATATAAAAGATTATAATAATGTAATAAACTATTTAACTAAGCCATTCCAACCATAAAACGTTGAGTGTCAAAAAAAATTTTTTTTGAATGCCCGTCATTTGTCCAAAAATGGACCAAAAAACAACTTTTTGTTTTCATTTTCTTTGTTTTTGAATATAGTTTTCGAAAAAAAATACAAAAAAATTATTCAGAGCTTCCTTCTATTTTTTATCTTAATTTTTTCGAAAAAAATCAAATTTTTTCGATGATTACCACTTTCAATTTTTGTTTTTATTTTTTTTTCAAATTTGGAAATTTTCTGAACACCCTCAAAAGTTTTCAGAATGGTGTTATGAGAAATAAGGCTAGTTAAAAAAAAATTTTTTTTAATTGGAAAATAACTAGAAATAAAAAAACACCACTCTGAAAAAATTTGAGGGTTTGCAGAAAATATCAAAGTTTGACATATAATTAAAAGAAAAAGTAATCAAAAATAGTAATCATCGAGAAATTTTCAATTTTTTCCAAAAATCTAAAAAAAACGATGAAGATAGGTTTGAATAATTTTTTTGTATTTTTTTTCAAAAAGTATATTTAAAAACAAAAATTAAAAAAAACGTCCCAATAAGTCAAATTGTGAAAAAGTTATAGCTATTTAAAAAAAGCCATTTTTTTCAAAAATTTATAACTTTTTTTGGTTGAATAAAAAACAACTTTTTGTTTTTATTTTCTTTGTTTTGAATGAATATAGTTTTCGAAAAAAAATACAAAA